CGTATTAGGGGCCATTTTATTTACTCTCTAGCTCAACTGTGTCGCTCTTTTTTTTTTTTTTTTTTTTTTTTTTGGTGCTCTGTTGCTAGGTTGGAGTGCAGTGGCACAACCTCGGCTCACTGCAACCTCTGCCTACCAGGTTCAAGCAATTCTCCTGCCTCAGTCTCCTGAGTAGCTGGGACTATAGGAGGGAGCCACTACACCAAGTTAATTTTTGTATTTTTAGCAGAGACGGGGTTTCACCATGTTGGTCAGGATGGTCTTAATCTCTTGACATCGTGATCCGCCCACCTTGGCCTCCCAAAGTGCTGGGATTACAGGTGTGAGCCACCATGCCAAGTTAATTTTTGTATTTTTACTAGAGACGGGGTTTTACCATGTTGGTCAGGATGGTCTTAATCTCTTGACATCGTGATCCGCCCACCTTGGCCTCCCAAAGTGCTGGGATTACAGGTGTGGGCCACCGCACCCGGCTGGTCTTGTCTTTATCATGACCATAACCTGGCCAGTGTTCCAGCTAGCACATAATTTCTTTTCCTAAATCAAGCTATTTTATTTATATTATTTATTTCTCAAGCAATAAATGCCAAAGCTTAGTTGGAAAATTTTTTGAAAAAAACAAAAACAAAAAAATGAAGGCTAGGAGCCATGGCCCATACCAGTAATCTCAGCATTTTGGGAGGCTGAGGTAGGCAGGAAGATTTCTTGAGGCCAGGGTTGGACAGCAGCCTGGTCAATGTAGGGAAACTTCATCTCTACAAAAAATAAGTAACTTAGCCAGGTGTGGTGGTCCATGCCTGCAGTACCAGCTACTCAGGAGGTAGAAGCGGGAGGAACCCTTGAGCCCATGTTAAGGTTGCAGTGAGCCATATCTTGCCACTGCACTCTAGCCTGGACAACAGAAGGAGACCCTGAAATCCACATAGCTCTTCTTTGCCTCTTTTGGGTGCGGCTTTCATGGCCACCCTATCTAAAACCACAATGCCCCAAATACTACTTATCCTCCTTCCCCACTATATTTTTTCCAGTAGTGCCTACCATATCAGATACTTTATTTACCTAGTTTTTTTCTTCTTACACTGAAATATAAACTTTTTTGGAGATGGGGTCTCCCTCTGTCACCTAGGCTAGAGGGCAGTGGCGCGATCTCAGCTCACTGCAACCTCCGCCTTCCGGGTTCAAGCGATTCTCCTGCCTCAGCCTTTTGTGACCTTTTATGGCCTTTTGTGATTGGCTCTTTTCACTTCACATAATGTCTTCAAGACTCATACACGCTGTAGCAATGTTTCAGTACTTCATTCCTTTTTATGTCTGAAAAAACATTCCATTGCATGGATATATCACATTATCCATTCATCATCTGCATGTTTCCAGCAGAAGTACTAGCTACTTAGGAGGTTGAGGCAGAAGGGAAGCTTGAGCCCAGGGAATTTGAGACCAGCCTGGGCAACATATTGAGATGCCATTGCAAAAAAAAAAAAAAAGAAAAGAAAAAAAATTGTTTATATATTTTTTTTTCATTCCAGTGATTTTATTAAAGAGCTGAGCAACTATCAGTTCCACACCATGGAATCTTGAATAAATCAAGCCTAAGACTCACTGCAAATACTAAAGTGGTATCTTGAATAAATCAGGAATCGGATTAAAACCTGTGTTTAGAGCTCATGTAACTCATTTCCATCAGTGGTTAAGTGGATTTTAGCAGAAGCACTGTCAAGGAACCACAAACGGCAACGCTGCAGCAGTGATGGCTCGAAGTACTGGAGAATTCTGGGTTTGTCAGATGAACAAGCATACAATTTTGAGAAGAAGGCTGTAAAAATCATGAAACTTTACAGAGTGTGGTGATACCATTTGTTTCGCAACCACAGAGGAAGTGAAAGTGTTACGGCAGAGGCATGGGTGCATTTACGCTTTAAATTGATAAGTGAAATGATTAGCCAGCTCAAGTTGAACTGATGGTTTTATTATTTAATTATTCTGAGGGGAAAAAATGAATGAATGAATGCGCACACTTAATATCTATTCATTCATTCAGAAGTGTGTAAACAGTTATAATCATTCAATTTTGACAGATCTACTCAAAAGTGAAGAGAGACTGTGCAGTCTCCAAGTGTGCTCTTCTCCAAATGAGCAATCTTAGGATTAAGACCACTTTGTCTATGTGCCTAGTATTGACCACAAGTAACTGTTTCAAAATGGTCATCTATTAATTTTCCTTGGGAACTGATTTTTCTTATGGCCATTTTACAGTTATGTTGGTATTATCACAGTTTTATTTCTACTTCTATTAAAAGTTTAACTTTACACTTGGCTTGGCAACACAAAGAAACAACTAGCTTGATTTCTTTATAATCTGGCTGCCTAAATCCACTAGTAAAAATCAGATCTTTCCCAAATATTTTGTGCATAAGGAGGATATATTATTCCTTAAAGACTATTTTCTATTAGTGCATTCTTTTCTTTAGTGTGCAAAAAGACTCTTCAAAATATGTAGAGCACTTTTCTTAAGGTGTCAGGTGTTTTCCTCTTTTCCAATACAGCTTTTCCAGTCTTCCAGGTCCACCACGGGGAGCAGCAGCCACAGAAATTAGGGCCGGGATTCCTTCCAGTCAGCACAACATTCCTGGACTGCTTCTCTTCAACTACAGCAAGTACAGGTTTCACTGGACAGATTCACATTAAGATTATGCAGACAAAAACACTGGGAAAATTAACTTACTGATCTCCTTTCCAAACGTAACATACCTCAAAGGAACATATAAACTTTTTCATTTAATAACGTACATAAAAGCCTTCGTTAAAATGTCAATAACAACTTTTATTTACAAAGTAATTGTTCTATCACATTACATTTGGGGTTACATGTATCACTGTTGTATGCTGGTAGCATGGCTATTTGAAAGATTATAATTTATGAGCTATTACTCAGTGGGATTTTTGCAACAAGGTACTTCATGAGACAAAATGGAAAAAGGAGAATTAAATTAAAATGCACAACTAATATGTATCTACTACAGAAATAATACTTCTCAGTTGTGAACTAATCACTAGTTCACAACTAGCATCCTCATAAATATTTTGGTTCTATCGGGATACAAAATCTGATTTTGCAAACTTTGAAAAGGCACATTTTGTGACACCACCTAAGCATTTCCCTGAGAACATAAAGAAGGTTATTAACATAATGAACCATTTCAGCCTTGAAAACAGTATTCGTTGAGGAGATACCTCAGAGGTAAGGACTTCCTCAGGACTGTAAGAGAAATCTATGGGTTCTTAAATGGAAGAAAAGAAACAACCACGAAAAGCAAGACCAGCTCAGAACTCCTCCTGAGGAAGAGATGAGATACGATAGGATTGTCCCTGTCCCAAAATATTGCTATCCTTCCATAAGCTGCTGGAATATTTCTTCATTCCGTTCTCCCATTCTCTGTGAACAAGAATCAGTGGGTTATGAGGCATTCTCTAAAAATGCAGGTGCAGCAGTCATGGGAATGGCAGTCGGCCCAATGCAGGTGTCAGGAGTTTCAGATGTGGAGAAGAAAATCACAAGGCATTCATTGTTTCTGTGATGAAGTGTGATGTGCTTTCTTCTCAGCACCACATGACATCAGACTTAGAGAACTAATGAGAGGAGAAGGGTGGGTGACTCTGGAATATGAAGAACCTCAAGAGGGAGGATGGAGGCCAATGGGAAGGCTCTCAGTTGGCAGAGGTGAGCAAAATTCCCAGGAGTGCACCTGGATGTCAAGGGCATTAGGAGGTGAAAATGAGTGGAAAAATTAAAAGGAGAAAGACCTTGTTCTTAGGAAAAGGGGTGGAAAGTTGCACTGTCCTTCCTCCGAACTGCTCACACTACCCTCTCACAGACCCAAAACTCAGGCAGGCACCTTCAGTATCACAGGTCAGGTATATTAGAGTTGAACCTATTGAAGGAGGCTTGGCCTGGAAACTCAATCACCAATTCATGGCATTATTTCTGTGGAAAAGTGTCTCAAAGTCTGCTTGTAAGCCACTTGTTTGAAACATGATAAAGAATCCCTTCATAAGATTGTTTACTTGTGGACAATTTTAGAAGTGCAATCTCAGTTTTAGACTACAGTCACTATGCTCTGAATCTCCAAATACATTGTACAATTTAAAAAAAAAAAAAAAAAAAAAAGAGCCTCTTGGCCAGGCACAGTGGCTCACGCCTGTAATCCCAGCACTTTGGGAGGCTGAGGTGGGCAGATCACAAGGTCAGGAGATCAAGACCATCCTGGCTAACACGGTGAAACCACGTCTCTACTAAAAACACACAAAAAAAATTAGCCAGGCATGTTGGTGGTCGCCTGTGGTCCCAGCTACTTGGGAGGCTGAGGCAGAAGAATGGCATGAACCCAGAAGGCGGAGCTTGCAGTGAGCCGAGATGTGCCACTGCACTCCAGCCTGGGCGACAGAGCAAGATTCTGTCTCAAAAAAAAAAAAAAAAAAAAAGAGCCTTCTGTAAGGAAAAAAATGCCCAACATTTGTGTCACCATGATCAAACTTTTGTATTATATATTCAGATACAGCAATATTTCCTACTGATATTTACTATTTAAATGATATTTAGGCACTACAGAATAAATAGCTCTCCTTTCAGACATAGAGCAAATCTAATAATCTATCACTTGAAATACTCTATATACAAGTATTTTATATCACTCTAAAGATACAGTCAAGAGGTAATGCTTTAAGGCTACATATGAAGGCTATCTTGGTTATTGAAAATGTGTATAAGCAACAAAAACACTTTTGCAAAATGTAGTAGAAACGAATCATTATTGCCATCTTAGAAAGAAAAGGTATTACACAGCAACTAGACATTCAAAATGGTATCCTAAAACTTATTGCTATTGTTCTATTAGGACAGATTATTGCTCAAAACTGCCCATTTTAAAATATCAAGAAATTCTCTCGTTTTTGTTATCTTTTCAGGCAAGGCAACATCACAATAAAAACTTTTAAAGTTAAACTTTTAAAGTTAAAAGTGAAATTTATTACAATACAATAAATGCAAGTGTCATTATTAAAAATGCTGGTTAAAATTATAAAGTATCTAAATAATTTTTCTAATATAAATATTGGAAACAACAACTTTAACAATTCCATATGTACACAGGACATTGAAAACATAAAATCATGCACAAGTCCAAAAAATAACGTTGCACATTAACCCTTTAGTTATTACTTTCTATTTTCTGGTCCCAGCATCATATCCGCTAATTACTCAGATTACAAGCCTCAAGGATTAAGTGTTTTGAATGTATTTCAGTTTCATACTTTAAAAATGCTTAAAGACTATTGGTTGTATTCTGATCAAATGGTTCTCCTTCCCATATTTCCCTTCCTCAACAGATCTTAGAAAAAGATGAGCTGGGAAAACTGTGATTACAGGATCCAACATGACATGTATACCCAATGATTCATTTAAGGGTGGCATAAAGTTATATAGAAAAGACCTACAGGATAGAAGACAATAAGTACATCAACATGTAGTGAAATTAAGCAGTTCATCCACTGCGTGTTTACATGGCTCCTGTATCACTTCAGGAAGAAGCCAGAGTCGCAGAGAAGTCAGGGCAAACCAGAACTGTTGAAGAATAGGGGTGGGGGGCAGAGGGAAGGAGCTGGGGAGAAGCCCAGATCATAAAGGAAATGTAAAAGAGTCACATATCTATTCTTCCCCTCCTGCTAATGCAGGGGCTGGCTCCAGCCCAGCCTCCCAGCCCACATCTCAGTGGAGCTCTTCCCCCAGCATTGCCTTTCAGATGAGAAGATACATCTGTTCCCCACTGAGAATTTTTCTGGGGGAGAGGGGCTTTTTTTTTGTTTTTTAACTTATTTTGATTATATATTTACAAATTATTGTATATATTTATAGGGTACAATATGGTGTTATGAGTTTTGAATATAAGGTGGAATGATTACACTAATTAACATACGACCTCAAATATTTAACTTTTTAATGAAAACATTAGAAATTTACTCTCTTAGCAATACTGAAATATACATTCAATTATTCCTATATTTAGCATGCTGTGCAAGTGATCTTAAAAAAAAAAAAATCACACTTATTCCTCCTGAGGCTTTGTACCCTTTGACTATCTCCCAATTCTGAGAACACTTTTCACAAATTTGAGGAACAGCCTAAAAATTATAGGCTTGAACATCTGAACTTGAGGGCAGCTGAGACTTTTTTTTTGTTTTCAAACAAATGAGCAGGTAACACCCAGAGGGGTTAAGTGGTTTAGCCACTGGGAAGATAAGGAAGTTGTGTGTGATGTTTACTTCTCTATGACGATGCTTCTCAAACCTTCATGTGCATACAGCTCCTGTGGATCTCATCAAAATGCCCTGGGTCCAGAGTGGGGCTTCAGATTCTGCACTTATCTAATAAGGCCCTAGGAAATGTTGAGGCTCTTGGTCTGTGGGCCACACTTTGAATAGCATGGACTACAACACAAGGAGGGATCCACCCCTGCCTTCCTCGGCCATGAAAGACCTGCTTCAGTGTTATCTGCCTCTCCAAGCACATCCCCAAGCAAAAGGTTTAGATGCACTGCGTAAGGTGGCAGCTGTCTACAAGACTGGGTTAACATATTGTCTGACACCACCATGACTACATGAACAGCCAAACGAGTAACATAATTTGAGTAACATAATCTAAATGTGACAGGTCTATTTGCTGAGAATAAAACTCATCTTTTACTTATGAAGTCTTCCTTAAAGTGAACGTGATATAAAGGTATTAAAAAACCCAGCATATTAAATTTCATAGTAAAATGCTGCATGTGCACAAGTATACAGATAGTATGAGTTCTAAGAAATTCAATGCACTGTAATCAGAATAAAGTGCTACCACTGCTCCCAGCTAAAATCATCTCCTCTTCCAAATATAAGGAAAAACCCTTGAATTGTAAGGAAAATGACTGCATTGCCTGCCAACACAAGGCCACAGGCTCCCCATTTGATCTGAAAGACAAGAAAAGAAGGATTAAATCCTTACTTCCTTCATATCGTACTCTTTGCAATCTCTATTATTTTCTGCATTAGAAACATCCAATGAAATATTACACAAAGCTGCTAAAAGGCTTAATAATGTAACAGACAGGAGACAATGAACTGTTCAGTAATGAGTCTAATTACTTCTGTGATACTTGTTAATTAAGTCTGGTATCATCCTTAACATTTTCCCAATTAGACATATTTCTCTACTTGTTTTTAATTGACAATGATTGCCTTAAGTAAAACTCAAGTGGTAAGATTATAAATAGTGCAATTACAATATTGGGTACTGAAAGTTTTGCACACATCAACTTCTTTCATGGAAAATAAAAATTGGAGAGTTATGAATTTGTTTGTTTCTTTTCTAGGCAAGAAAAGACTTTAAATAATAGTCTTTATACAACTGAAAACTGCTTTCCAGCTTGGTAAATGGTTTGTAGACGGTTTTACAGAAGCACATTTGGGGGTGAGAGTACCCTCTAGTGGGCATTTTTTGTTTTACTTTAATCAATAGAAACGTCAATGAAAGTTTCTTCACAAAACATGACGACAGTATTGAAAGGAAAAAATATAAATATTTACTGCAGCGCTTAAGAAGCGCTGGTCTAAAGCACAAGAAGAATAAAGTCATGACAATCCTGTTGTATTAAAAAACTTTCAATCCTTCCCAATTATCTAGTCAAAGTTCAAGACCCTTGCTAGTCAGGTTTCACAACCTTTCCAGCCTTAATCTCAACAACTTTCTTTTAGCTCTACCACACTGGACTCTTCTTTATTCCATACACTGCATTCTTACACGTGAATGTCATTCCATATAACAGCCATCCTACTTTAACACAAATGCTATTTATCCTTAGAGGCCCCTATCAAATGCCAGTTGGAATTTCTCTCTTCTTGGTGCCCCTATGGCATTCTGATCATGCTTCAACCATCTCACATAGTACACTTACAGTATACTTAGCCAGCAAGCTGGTTTCTGTGTTCCTTAGGAGCAGAGACAGTACCTATTTCTTATTTCTGGTGTTTTACAGTAGCAGTTGTTCCAAAGATATTTATTGAATAAATAAACAAGACTTGCGCTCAAATGATATTTAATGCCTCAAATAAGATTTCATAAAATTAAAACAGAATGTAATTGGAGGGAATAAAATCAAATAGGAGGAGAGATAGTGAACATCAAATAATTGAATAAATTATACCTACAATGTGTACTTTGAAGACAAAAAGAAAGTTTTTGTCTTGGAAGTGAAGATGTCATCTTATTCACTGCATTTTCTGGAAGCTACAGAGTTGTCCCTCAACATATACCTATTCTACTGCATTGAGAGTTGAGTCCATGATCCCATTTGCAGGAGAAGAATTTGAAATATCTTCATCTTGCAACTAGAAAAGTACTGCTAGCATAGTATCTGTGGATTACTGTAAGACTTAAGAGGCAGGAATTTAAGAACAATTCCAGAGAATAACTTAAAGTAGAAAAAGAAAGAAATCATACAGTCTGGCTAAAAGTTGTAAGAGAAATAAAGAAAGCACTCTGAAAGCATGGTCGAGCTACTGATAGGCAGGTCTAAAGTAGAAGAACAGAGAAACTAAAAATACATGGCCCTGAGTATAAAGCCTAAGTAATGAACATGAAATGGAGGTCCCAGACACAGGCTTCTGAAGTAAACTCAGCAACAGTTGAGCAAAACAATAGAAAATAAAACTTACCACAGCCACACGAGCAAGAATAACAGGAAATCCAAAGGCAGAAACAACAATTCCAGTAGTGAAGAAATATGCCAGTTCCCGACAGGCACTACTGGTTGCGTCTGAGTCATAGGTGACTCTTTTGGCAATGAAATGGGGTATGGGGGAGATGGCGTGGAAAATCAGGACGAATAAGGGCCAGTAAACGCTGTCAGTTGGACCCAGGCAAAATCCAAAAAGAAAAGTAACAGTTACATTTTAAATGAAAGACATACTACTATTTCAAAATCATTGCTATTTTAAATGTTTAGGTCAAAAAATCAATTAATTGTGAATATAAGAACATAAGATGATTTCTACCAGATAAGTAGTGATAATTTTTAAATTACTATGTAGGTAGCTTATATTGTGTTAAGAAACCACTGTATAATATAATCTCTAGAAACTTTACTGTTTTCTGTACCACTGAGCCACAATTTCTTTAGAGACAGAATTTTAACTTGGTCATTTCTGCTTTCCCTGTAGAACATAGTAGAGTGTCTTGCAAAAGCTAATTGGTAAAGATCTTTTGAGTGCATGCATGCTTGAAACCTTTTAAGGGCTTAGAATAAACCCCAAATTCCTTGTCTTTGCTTACAAAGCCTTACATGGTGTGGTATTATCTACTTCTTCCATTCATTTTGTACTCCTTTCCCTTCATTTGCTTAATCTGTAGCCACACCAGCCTTCTTTCTGTTCTTTGAACACTCTGAGCTCATAACTGTTATCCTAGGGCCTTTGCACTAGCTGTGCTGCCTGCTTGCAATGTTCTTGTCATTGGCTGACTCCTTCATACCATGTGATCTAAACTGACAGATTCCTTTCTAAAAGCGGAACTTTCCCTGGCCGTCTATTCTAAAGTACCCCAGGTCACCCTCGAACATACCACCATCTTTTAACTTTCTGCACAACACTTATTCCCATCTGATAGATTAGTCTTGGTCAAACGCCATTTACCTCCAGGGCCTAGAATGATGTACTCCATTCATACTTGTTAAATGAATAAAATAACAAATAAATTTTAAGTACAGAAGGCATGAAAATAAATATGTTCACTAGTGAAAACCTTAGATGTACTCTAATCTTCATTACAATAGCTCACAATTGATAGTGTAATGCAAAAACAAAACAAAACTGTTTTCCTCCCAAATTTCAACGTTTTGCAATTATTAAAAAAATTGCCATCTGGTTTCCAATGGTATTTTCTCTATAAATACTTCAAAAATAATCTTTTTTTCTCCATCAAGACATTTGTTATGCTTCATTTCTTAAGAAAAAAAAAGTCTCTGCTCATTTTTATCTATACACCACAGTAATTCATATCGTCACAATACTGTGATCACACAGATACACCCAGACCGCACCTACAAGCAGGAGGATGAAGCCACGCTAATGAAAACCTCCCATTCCAGCCACAGATCTAGGTAACCAAAAGGCAAGAAGGGAATGTGTCCTTCAAGAGGACTCAGGATGGAAACAGTGGATTTGGACTCCTGATTCTAAAGTAGAAGGATGTTAGTATGTTTCAAGAATCACCAAACAATATTGTGGGAAGGAGCCCTTAGACATTCGCTACTTCACAGCCCTTCTTTGAACAGTGAGAAAGGAGATACAGAGAAGGGAAGGGGTTTGGAATAGAAATAGCTGTCACCTGACATATCCACAGCCAAGAACTCTTAATTTTTCCTGGAATATAGTGACAGTTTTGTGAAAAACAACCTGACTTTATGTTTCCATTCACAGTAAGCCACCAATATCCAACTAAGAAAAATGTTCATATACAAGAAACCTTGTTTATATATAAAATGTAAATATTAAGTATATACAATTCAGTAAACATGTAGGCCAGGGGTTGGCAAACTTTTTCTGTAAAGGGCCAAAGAGTAAATAATGAGGATCTGCAAACCATAAAGACTATCTCAACTACTCAACTCTGCCAAAGATAATTGGCAGAGCAATGCAAAAGCAGCCAGAGATAATTCATAAACAAATGAGCATGGCTGTATTTCAATAAAACCTTTATTACAAAAACAGGTAGCAGGTTATATGTGGCAGTTTGCTGACTTCCAATACAGATGATAATCCTGGTTCACTATCATTAAGATACAGCTTTGGGAGGCCAAGGCAGGAGGATGACTTCAGGCCAGGAGTTCAAGACCAGCCTGGGCAACACAGAGAGACTCCGTCTCTACAAAAACTTTTTTTAAAAATCAGCTGGGTGTTGTGGCATCTCTAAAAAACAAAAAATTAAAATAAAGATAGAAAATAAACTTCTTTGTAGTAGCAGTAATGAGTCATTTTCTTACCTTACAAAGACCCAGTGTATCACAGAGAATTAAAACTCCTAGATTTACAGTTGGTTGTAGAATAATGGAAAAACGTTTGGTCAAGAGCATAAGAACATGAGCTCCATTTCCATGTCTGCAATTTTAATTTTTTTTTTTTTTTTTTTTTTACTTTTTTATTTAAGAGACGGAGTCTCGCTCTGTCGCCCAGGCTGGACTGCAGTGGTGCGATCACAGCCCACTGCAGCCTCCAACCCCTAGGCTCAACCAATCTTCCCACCTCAGACTCCCAACCCTGCTACAGGCACCATGCCTGGCTAATTTTAGTTTTTTGTAGAATGGGGTCTCACTTTGTTGCCCAGACTGGTCTCAAATTCCTGGCTTCAAGCAATCCTCCTACCACTGCCTCCCAAAGTGCTGGGATTATAGGCATGAGCGACCATGCCCGGCCTCTGTCACTTATTGCTGTGTAATCTGGGTCAGTCTTTAACTACTCTGGGCTTTGGTTTCCCAGCAAGAAATGAGGATAATAATACCTTATTACATTCATAAATCTAGAATAAAGTAATTGCTGTGAAGGTTCTAAACAAATATAAGTGACTGCTTATATTTGGATCCCTCTTGGGTTTAAACAATTTCCATAATAGTTGGCCAGGACTGTGGTGATGGATTTAAATTCATCACTGTCATAACAACTCACTTCAGTTGGTCTCACTTAACCACATCATCATCTTCATCTTCTTTATTTTTTATTTTTTTATTTTTTGGAGACAGTCTTGCTCTGTCGTCAGGCTGGAGTGCAGTGGCACGATCTCAGCTCACTGCAACCTCCGCCTCCTGGGTTCAAGTGATTCTCCTGCCTCGGCCTCCTAAGTAGCTGGGATTATAGGCGTGAGCCACGCCCAGCTAATTTTTTGTATTTTTAGTAGAGACGGGGTTTCACCATGTTGCCTAGGATGGTCTCGATCTCTTGACCTCATGATCCACCCGCCTCAGCCTCCCAAAGTGCTGGGATTACAGGCGTGAGCCACGGTGCCCAGCCTAATCACATCATCTTCTATCTGGTTGTTCAAGTCAATCAGCTGGGAGACATCTAAGAACTCTCTCTCCTTGTTGAATTTTGACATCAATTAACAAAACCTGTTGGTTGATTTGGTTTCCTAACTCACTCTCCTTTTCTTTCCATTCCTACTACCCCAGCCCTCAATTTTGCTTGATTTATGACAGTAGTCCCTTACTATTCTCTCTGACTGCAGTCTCAGCTCTTTCCTGTCTGGTCTCACGTTATGGCCAGAATGACATTTTAACATAACCCCCTCCTCCAAACCCATTCTCAAGATATTTTCCCAGCTCCTATTGTCTGATGTATAAAATGGAACCTCCTCTACATGACAGGCATGTAGAGCCCTAAGTGCTGACTTTTGCACTCTTGACTAACCCTTCTTTTGCCACTCTAACTACAATTTATGCTGTACCATAATGTACCATGTGCAGTTTCCTGAAAAGGCTATATATGCTTTCATGTCTCTGGGCCTTAGCATACAGCTTTCCTGGTGCCTAAAGCACTTTTTCCCTAGAGATCTGTATGACCTGCTCCCTGATTTTCTTGACAATTCTTCTCACTTTTTACCTCCTCTGAGAGGCCCTTCCTGACCACTGTCTTCCCAGCTTCTATGCTCTTCATCTTTTGTACCACTTCTACCTCTGGCAGTATGCACACTTTTGTTGTTTACTGTCCGTCTCCCCAGCTGAAACACAAACTCTGACAGAGCAGGACCTTTGTTTTCTTATGTCTTAATCCCTAGTTCCCATTACAGTAGCTGGCACATGGGAAGCATTCAACCAACAATGGTTGAATAAAAAAATGTGTAGAATGTTCCCTCTGCCTGGAATGTTCTCCCCTGACTCATCAGCCTGAGAAACTCTTATTTATCCACCAAGTCTTGGCTCAGATACAACCTCTGCCATGCAGCCTTCCCTGACTGTCCCACTGAAACTCAGGAGTACTTTATCTGAGCTCCAGCATACTTGGCCGGCATCTCCACTGCAGCTGCCATCTTACTGACTAGACTGTTTGCCTGTCTCTCATTCCCAACTAGAACTGTACCTCTTTGAGGAGAGGACTGTGTCTCTTCATTTGTGTGTCCCTAGCTAGCCCAGAGTAGGTGTTAAACAAATGCTTACAGAATGAATACATCAATTTTTAACACAGCCCTTTTTTTTTCTGCAAAAGTACACCTGACCCACAAAGGGAAGGTGTTCATAATCTGGGCTCCACTAACTCATTGGTTAGAACTTGGTGCTAAATTGACCAAACTCTCTAACACCCATACTAATAGTGACAAAGACACAGAAAGAGGAATGGTTCTTTTTGAAATGATAACTTACCCATAATCCTCTAAGGCACATCCCAGCATAAGAAAAGTCAGCCCAATAGCCCCACTGAAGGATAATGCCACAAGAGCTGCGAAAAATAAAGCCAAGAGTTAAAGTTCCCACAGTAGAGGTTGTCGGGGCTAGAGGGTTTGGGGAAATGGGGAGTGACTTGTAAATAGGTCCAGAGTTTCTTTGGGAGATGATAAAATTTTCTGGAATTAGATAGTAGTGATGACTGCACAACCTTCTGAATATACTAAAAACCATGAAATCTTACAGTTTAAAAATGTTAATTTTATGGTATGTGAGTCATTTATCAATAAAAATGTTTACAAAAAAAAGAAAGAAAAAAGGTCCCAAATTCGAGCAAAAGTAGCAATTTACTCATTTCACTGAGGTTACATTTGACCCCTGTTACAGACTGCATTGTGTGTGTCCCTTTCAAATTCATATGTTGAAACCTTCCTGGCTCCACCCCTCTCACCGTGAGATGCCATTAGGAGGTGGGTCTTTGGGAGATAACTGGCTTCAGATGAGGTCATGAGTGTAGGGTCTCCACGATGGGATGAGTGTCCTTGTAAGAAGGGAGAAAGTAGAGCACATGCTCTTCTCTTTCTCTCCCTCTATTCTCCAATGTGAGAGCAGAAAGCAGGCCTGCAAACCAGGAAGAAGGCTCTCACCAGATGCCAGATCTGACTGCACCAAAATTTTGGACTTCCCAGTCTTCAGAACTGTGGAAACTAAATGTTGGTTGTTTAAGCCACCCAGTCTACAATATATTTCTTACAGTAGCCCAAACTGATTAAGACAATGACCCATGTCTGCCACCTTAAAATCATAAGGTATACAAAGGTCTCAAGTAATTCCAATACCTAACCCCTATCCAATGTATGAATTCCCTCTATATTTGTCACCAGAGGGCAGTCAGTCGGTCCACACAACTCCAGTGAAGGAAAACTCACTACCACTCAAGACAGGTTTAATTTAATTCCAACAGTTTCTAAATGTTGAAAGCCCTCCTTCTTTAAATTATATCCAGAACTGCCTCCCTGTAATATATACCTTTGATCATTTTGCCTCCCCAAACCACGGTACTTCAAGTATTTGAAGATTGTTTTCATGTCTTTATAGGAAACAATTCCCAACTAGTGTCCACTGAATAAAGTATTTATTCCCTGTATCTACTGGACACTAGTCTCTGTGGGAGTAGGAACGTATTTGCCCTTGTTGTGCTGCTGAGTGAGAAACAGAGTATCAAGGTTGTTAAAAAGTTTTGAGCTCTGAGTCACAAATATGAGTCAAATCTTAACTCTGCCACCATCTGGTCTTATGACCTTGGGTAGAAGCTAAACCTCTGAATCTGATTTCTCACCTGTAAAATGGAAATAATGGTGCCACCTTATTGAGCTTATGGGAATTAAATGAGATAATCTATGTAAAGTGCTTGGCAAAAGGAGGTAGTCAAATAAATGCTGACTGACTCAAGTATCTACTCATTTTAGCAATGTTCTTTGATAAAAGTAGAAATCAAAAGCATAGGAGACTATCTTATCCAAATTTTCTTCTGAAAAAAGTCCATAATACTCATAATTAGAATTTAATTAATTAAGCTAATGAACATTTTTGATTGCTTCCTTTTACTTGAGAGAAGATTTAGAGAGACTCTTTAATAGGAAGGTGCCAAAGTGCTTTTTAAAAAACATCTGGAAGTATACAGATGTTAGGGGACAAAGAAAAACTGTCAATTTTAACATATCTTTTTACATTTCCACTCTTTAATGGAAAATGCCCATGTGCGGATGGAAGGCAAATACCACATATTATTTCATTACAGATGATCTTTTCCTGGCGGGCTTTGCTCCCCTCCTCTGTGCCTGACCATCTGCAGTAACCCCTCCTCCATGAGGCCTGTCAAAGCTAGGAACTGCAGACCTCTTCCTTTTGTTCTGATATCAGTTTCTCAAGGTTCACAACCATCTTTCTGTTTGATTCTTTTTGGTCTTTTTTTTTTTTCCTCTTTTTTCAGGAATCACATCCTCTGCATCTCTTAAAGTTGGAGTTGACCAAAAATCCAACCCCATCTCTCTTTTCACTCCACACACTCCAGCTGAAAACTTACGTTCAACCCAAAGCTTCAACCACAAGGGCCCGGACACCACTGATGCTCCAGCCCAGAGTAGGTCCTATAGAACTAGGCCTGTACTTCCACCTCCAATCTTAACCCCTCTGCCTTGACAGTCAACAAGAACCTCAAATTCAACATGTGTAACGTGTAAAACCGAACCACTATCCCCACCCTTTAAAGGTCCTATCTTAGAGGGCTGACACCATAATTGCATTCCACCTTCCAACGAATCAGTAAGTCAAGGTGACTCAATCTCCTAGACTTCTTAAACTCTCTGCTACAGCCCTGGTGCAGGCCTTATCCTCTCATTCCTGCCTCTGTGACTCTTCCAGTCCATCCTCTACACAGCAGACAGTGATCTTTCAACTATATATATCACTGCTGCCATCCCTTTGCAATTGCTTCCACAGCCTACAAGTTGTTCTAGCATGGAGGCTCCCCATGGCCTGACTCATTCCTAACGCCCGTCCAGCTTCAACCCTGACCACTAAGTTCCCGTCTCACTAATGAAGCTTAAGTACCTGAAGAAAAGAAGGCGTGTTATTTCATGTGCCCTGCACCATGTCACGTGCTGTCCTCCCCCCTTGGGACATACTCCACCTTCACTCCATGCCTTGCCAAATGAAGCCATATTGATCCCTTCAGATTCAGTTCAAGCATTGCCTCTTCTGTGAAAACAGTCCTCTCTGTGGAGCACGGGAGATTAATCCCACCCGGATCAGTTTCCTAGGGCTGCGGTTACAAAGTACCACAAACTGGATGGCTGAGAACAACAGAAATTTATCTTCTGACAGTTCTGGAGGCTGGACTTCTGAAACCAAGGTGTCAGCAGCGACACCACACTCCCTCTGAAGGCTGCAGGGAAGCACCCTTCCTTGCCTCTTCCTAATACTCAGTGGTTGCCAACACGGTTGCCAACAATCTTTGGTGCTCCTGGCTTTGTAGCTGCATCACTCCAATTTCTGTCTCCATTTTCACATGGTATTCTCCCTGTATGTCTCCATGTCTAAATTCCCCTCTTCTTATAAGGACACCAGTCATTGGATTAGGGTCCACCTTAAACCAGTATAATTTTAACTTGCTTATATCTGCAAAGACACTACTTCCAAATAAGATCACATTCACAGGTACTAGGGAATTAGAGCCTGAATATATCTTTTTGGAGGACAAAAATTCAACCTACCATCTCTGTTCTCCCACCGCATCTGAGCACACCATAAACACTCACATAGTAATATAATTATTTCCAGCTCTGTCATCCCCCAATAACTTCTCATTTATCTTTGTATCCTAAGTCTCTGGCATACAGTAGTTCCTCAATAAAAGTTGAAGAATCTGTAAAATGCTTCCTTCCCTTAGTCCTTTTCCATTTCGGACTTCCTTTTTTTTCACCACATTACAATTTTCTAACACATTCACACATGGAACATGATCATGATTTGGCAGTTTCTGATCATGTGTTGTACTGAGACACTACTTTTCATGTTTTCGGCATTGGCTTCAAAAGGATGTATAACACACAGTCGACACTCTCCAGGTAAACCATGTTTACTAAACTGATATTGAGTATAAAAGTCAGTCAGAAATAATGATAAAATATGTCTACCGCTAACATCTCACACATTCGGATAAATTCATAGTGAACAGAGGCGTACTCGTGTATACACATGTTTATAGCAGATATTAACTGGGGATATCTTTGGGTGCAAATTTCAAGAATGATACAAGCGCCAACATAAAAACAAGTCATGCTACTCTATTCGACAGATTAGAAATGGAATGGTTTCCTACCAAAATACAGGAAGCCTTGCAAAAAACCTTTTCCGTCTCACATTGCTCTAACGCCATACAGATAAGGTACACGGTGTTTTTATCAACTGCCCCAGGCAAAAAGCACATACTACACAAACACTACTTTCTTCTCTATGCATAGACGAACAGAGAAAACATCGAAGAAAGCAGTATTAAAATTACACGTAATCTACTCTCCACGACTGCGAGAAACACCGTCTTTCTGGGTGCTTTCCATTGACACCAGCCCGCAGTCAACTCTGCCCAGTTGGAAAAATCATTAGGAAAAAGAGGATTAAGTTTCCCAATGCTAAGAACGCTGGAGACAAAGCGTCCTTTGTAGCAAATAGGAAACTGCGGAGGGGTAGAAAACCGGAGGAAAGGCGTTAGGGTGGACACGTCAAGAAGTGGAAACCCGGTATAAAAACTCGAGAGGGGTGGAGGGCGCCGCTCTCGCCGAGGGCTCCGCCTGGGGAGGGGTCTGGTGCCGCCACTGGAGAGCAGGAAGGCCAGCGGCCTCGTAAAAAGGGCCGAGGCTCCCCCGAAACGTCGCTCCACCCGCACCCCAAGGGACGAAGGGAGCGGGCGATCGCCTCCCCACCCGGAGAGGCGGGAAGGGTGGTGAGGCCGTTCCCCAGAGGCGCGCGGAAGGCGCAGCCCCAGGCTTGACTGGAACGGAGGTGGCAACCCCACCACACGACGAGCGGGCCGGGGACCGCGATGTACCTTTAACGCCCGCCATGTCTCCCGAGCTGGGGCCGCGGCTGCTTCCGGCTTCCTGCCACGGCCCGGGCAGCCTGCCCAAGCCAGACCGGGAGTCGCCCCGCGGATCCCGAGCCCGCCCTGGCAACGCAGAGCCCCGCCCCCGCCGGTGCAGAACCCCGACCGTAGCTCGCAAACGCCGCGCCTGCTGGTCCAGACCCCTCCCCGACCACTCAGAGCCCCGCCCCCGCCGGTGCAGAACCCCGCCCCCAGCTCGCAGAGGCCGCGCCTGCTAGTTCAGACCCCGCCTCGCTACTCAGAGCCCCTCCCCTGACGGTACAGAGCTCCTCCCCTAGCTCGCAGAGGCAGCGCCTGCTGCTCCAGACCCCGCTACCGCTACTCAGAGCCCCGCCCCTGATAGTGCAGAGCTCCTCCCCTAGCTCGCGGAGGCCGCCCCTGCTGGTCCCGCCCTATCCCTCACTGGCCCAGAATTCCGCCCCCAACTCTCAGAGGCCTCCCCTTGTTGGTCCCGACCCCGCCCCCGCCACTCAGAACTCCGTTCCTGCCAGTCTAGAACTCTGCCCCCAGCTCGCAGAGTCCAGCTCCAGCCCTAAGACCCCACCTGGCCCCACAAAGCTTCCCCAGAGTAACCCCAACCCAGTGCCCTGGACCCTACTCCTAGATCCTGAGCCCTCTGGGTAATCCTCAAGCCCGTTCCTTTTGTGGGCTGGGACCTTGGCTCCGCCCGGACCTCGGGCCCAGAGTCTCTCCAGGGCCGCTCAGAACGCAGTGCACGCAGCGGGGGATCCTCCCTGAGCCTTCCTGAGAACGGAGATGTAGACAAGTGGAGAGAGGGAGGAGAGAGGAGAGGAAAAGTTGCAGTCGATGGGAGAGGGACACCGACTCACTAACCAGTGTTATGTTCCCTGAGCTCCCAAGTGCGTGCTTGTGTGCGAGTGTGTGCCTGTCTGCCTTCACATGACTGTGGAAGGGGAGGGGCGGGGTACCAGAGGACAGGCCCCTTAGGAAACACACCTCGTTAAGAACTTGATATTTGCATAGGTTTGCTTTGCTTCATAGCAACGCTTTACTGAAACCAGCGGGGTTTTTCTTTACTCCCTGATTTATTTGTAGAGACGAAGACCATATAAGCTTTTGTGTCCGAAGCTTTCATGAACCTTAAAAAAAAAAAAAAAGGCTATTGTTTTTGTGCCTTGGGGCCTCAAAGTTTGCAGTTTTTAGATCTCTGAGAGCCATTGTGTACTTATCTCACAGGAGTGGAGAGTTCTGTTTTGGCAAGAGCAATCTAGAAGATCATTGAAACAGTCTGGTCCAAATGCTTCATCTTACATTTAAGGAAAGAGGTGTAGAAAGGGTAGGACTTGCCTGTCACACAGCTCTTTGGAGGAGGTTGGATTCTGGGCCACTTCCCCTCATTCTAGCTGAGATCCACTCTACCTGATTGTGCGGTCCCTCTTCTCTTGCTTTTTCTATTTTCAAAAGGACTGAAAGACAAAAGAAACTGTAGAAACTTAGCTTCCCCTGGCTACCTGAGAAGTATAAATTCTCACCACGATCACGTTTCAGGATCCTTGCTCAGTTTACCTTTTCAGAATTGCACATTGAGCATGTTATTGTTTCAAGAAATGTCTATTTGTTGATTCAGTGGAGTATTTTTCTAGCTGTCAGTTTATTTTTCTAGCTCCTCTCATTTCTCCTCATAGACGGATGGCACACTCACTGAAAACAGCATTGTAATACCTGACTCACTGCAGATGCTTGGAGATCCCGTACTACATGGCACTTTTTACTTTGGAGCCTTCAATCTACTCAAGAGCATGGGCAGTGTATGCCACTTTGGTTTAAGGATTATTTTGAGCTGAAGGCAATTAGGAAGAAGCAAATAGGTACAAGGTACTAGAAAAGCACTCTGCCCTCCCTCCATTTGCCAAAAAGCAGGATATAAGTTTACAAAAGTGTACCTCCTGCCTGCTCTACCAGGAAGGACAAAGATTAATCACCAGAGACAATTGTAGACCCCTGTCAGCCTGGAGACAACACAAGAAAAATCTACATGATTAACTTTAGTATTTAGCCTGTATCTGCAACTAGTCTCCCATATATTTGTCTTCCCACAATTTGCTGCCCCTAGAGACTCAAGGTCCTTTATCTTGTCATTTCTTTAAAAATTTATTGTTCCTTGGCTAGGATGCTATATAAGCCCAAGTTCTAACCAAACCTTTGACTTGCTCATCTCTGAGTATTCCCATTTTACCTACATGAACAATGCACCTGTTGATAAACTTGCTTTACTTTTGTTCATTCGTCTGTCTTTGGCCGGTCTAATGCACAAAGACCCAGCTGAAGAACCTAAGATAGGTAGAGGAAAAGATTCTCCCTCCTCTACAAGAGCTTGGTTCCCTATCATATTATTTCTAATACCTGTTAGAGCACTCAAGGGAACCTGTGTATCAGGCAAGCCCTGGAAGTCTGTGGTTTTTAGCTCTCTTCGTGTAGTGCTAAGCTACTCTCATGGGGAAGATATTCCATGGGGTTAAATTTCCCTCATTCCCTCTTCCATTTCCAATCACCCACTCTGTCTCCAGAGAGCCTCAATAGGGTTTACGGGAGCCTTCCATGTCAGCCTGACTCCAGTCCCACAGAAGGTAAGTGATTTTAGAGAAAACTGACAACACATCAGAGGCAGGGTTTGGTTTGAGCACCCTAGGCTCAGGAGTAAGATCCTGGAAGCTGGTATGAAAGAAAAAGGTTGAGATGCTTGCCCCAGGGTAATGTCTGGAATTTTAAAATTGCTGGGACAGTGTTTGTCTTGAACAAGTTTTCTGCCCATGCCAGCTGTCCTTTTCAGGTCACCAAACACCTTAAAGAGAAAGTTAGCTATTTTGCCATAGGCTTTAACCATCTGAAAAAAATCTGCTTTTCTTTTGCCTGATGTTGCACTGAAAAAACTGTTCTTCCACTTACTCCTTCCACATTTTCTCAAGAATAAAAGAGTCACCAAAAACAGAAAGTAAAACCCTAAAAACCAAATCCTTATCCCCAACTTGCCATTGATATGTTACTTGGATGTATAAGATCTGTAACCTCTGTCATGTTGCCTAGGACTACAGTGGACTTACTGGGATGAATTTTAATATTCTCTCCTTGCATTCAATAATCTCACATGATGACCTAGGTTTTATTGTCTCCATCTTACAGATAGGAAAACAAGCTCCCAGTAACCAGTGAATAGGGAAGCTGAGATCAAGTCCCAAACTGTTCAACTCTAAAGTCAGATGGTCAGCACTTGTACTGTTCCCCACAGTAGATCTTATGCACCAAGAAGCAAGAATTCTTGTAGTAATTAGAAGTAACAGTAACCTCCTATGCTTCACAGGGCATCAAATCCATTCACTGACTTAATTTTCTCCAACATATCTATTAGCATCTTGCATACAGTATACACAAAATGTTGACTGAATTAACAAATATTAATAAGTTTACCATACACAGTATCATCTCTCCCTATCCTCAGGAAAAAAAAAATTGTAGCCTCAAGCTTCAGCTCTGGGTAAATTTCTCCATGCTTTAGCTTCCTAAGGTAGGATTTACAAAACCCTGTCTCTCAGAATCTTTGGGGGAATTAAATGAGAAAAAAATATATATAAAACATATATATATATATATATAAAATAACACCTAGGGCAGTGCACACAAGATAAATGCCAGGATGTTATATCTACACTGGGGCAGGCTTGCAAGTCAGTGCATAAGTTAAATGCAAGAATGATGCAACACTAATTGAAATCCGTAAATGTTGGTTTTCCTTCCTAATGCTCAATCACTACTTTTTTTTACATAGCTGTTCCCTTTACAGAAACTACAATGCAAACCTTTTTGCCATTTTATGTAGACAGATCTCTGTAAACCCAAGGAGATAAGGAATAAGGACCAGGGTAAAAGTAACTTTGGGCTGCCTTTTCCTACTTGTTTCTATCCACTCCCTGGAATATGAAGTTTCCATGTAATTCCAGCTCCAATACCCACCTACAGTGATATACTTTGTCTTATTTACTATCAGTAACAATAACAATAATTACTATTTAGTGAGTACCCACTTGTTCGGAGTTTATATACACAGTTCTTAATTCCTCCATTGCAGGGTTGTTAGAATTCTGTTTTACAGGTGATAAAATTAAGACTCAGAGAGTTCAAGAAACGTGTCCAATGTAAGAGTCTGTAAGGTTCAGCACAGTGGCTCATGCCTGTAATCCCAGCACTGTGGGAGGCTGAGGCTGGAGGATCACTTGAGGCCAGGAGTTCAAGACCATCCTGGGTGACACAGCAAGACCTCATCTGAAAAACAAACAAACCAACCAAAAAAAAACAGGCATGGTGGCTCTCACCTGCCTAGCTACTCAAGAGGGCTGAGGCGAGAGGATCACTTGAGCTCAGGAGTTAGAGGCTGCAGAGAGCTACGACAGACCCACTGCATTTCAGCCTAGGTGACACAGCAAGACTCTCTTGTGTAAAAAAAAAAAGAAAAAAAGAAAAAAAAAGTCTATAAATGGAAAAACTGGAATTTAAACCCAGTCTTTAAATCTCAAACCAACATGTATCACTATTCCCAAAAACCATGATTTATCTTTAGAATAATCAAAATCTGCTACTTGAGCTAGCTTCCCTGATAGGTGTTTCCAGCAGAGAGACTGACTTGTTGCTGCAATAGCTATTTCTGGAATTCAACTTTTTTCTTTTGTTGTTGTTGTTTTAGTGAGGCGGAGGTTACTGCATTTACTGCATTCCTGCAGTAACTGCATTACCAGGCTGATGTGTGGAATGGGTGGGAGAAACTCCTATTCCATCTCCCTGCTCCAAAAAATCCATTTAAAATATTGTTCATGGATAGAAGACATATCAGATGTTAAACTGATAAAATTAGATGCTACA